ACTCTCCATAAAAACAGAACTCAGATACAATAAAATGGAGACGGACTGTAAAATATAAATAAATAAAAAAGAAATACATGTAATCCGAAAGATGGAGAAAAATGAATTCGTGCACACGCGCCAAAATAAAAATGAATTTTTTGCAGCTTCATAGTAGCTAAAAAAAAAATATTAATTTCAATACATGTCATACAGTATGTAGCCAATGCCCAAATTCTGTTATCCTAGATGAATAAAATCAATTTCTGTGAGCTGTTGATCCAATTTTCGTTTTTGTCTTCCCTGATGAAAATTTTTCTCAGAATTTTTCGTATAATTTTTCAGAATTTCTATATAATTTTGTAACTTTCTCATTTTTTATACGAATTGGAATACTTCTCAAAAAAAATTTACATCTGTTCTCAGAATTTTTTATATTAAATATGAAATATCGTAAATTTCTAAAATTTTTTTGTAAGTATAATTTCTGATGAAATGTTTATATAATCTAAATAATTTAAAAATATTTTTCAAAATGGGAGAAATTTCAGAATATTTCAGAATTCAATTGTATGAACAATTCTGAAAAAAGATATAAACTTTCCAAATATTTTCGAGAATTTCTGAAAAATGTTATAATTCGTATAAAAATTATAAGGAAAATTTTCACTAGGGTTATTATTCACAAAATTTGCTTTGCTGTTTTTGTTTGTACATTTTTTATGAATCTTTATATAAAATTATATATTACATAAACGCATATAAATATTACACAAACGCATATATAAATAAATACGATAATAAAGAAAATATTAGGTGTACAATTTTGTTTCCACCGTTTTCCTATAGATGGCTTTAGCGGTAAGTGGTGGTCGAAATAAATAGATCATAAACGTCATACAATAAACTTGGGCATCTGTCAACATAACCCCATAGAAACATTAGTCGATTTGTGTCTGTATCATAAAGTTATTCTCGATTGAAAATGTCAGGTCATTTGCGGGAGGTTTTAATTTTTTGCTTCAATATGAAGAAATCTGCGACTGAGGGTCATCGAATGCTCTCACATACTTATAGTAAGGCCGCTATTAGTGAAAGAATGTGTCGTGAGTGGTTTCAACGCTTCAAGAACGGTGATTTTGACGTCGAAGACCGGCATAGCGGTGGAAGAGAGAAAGTTTTCGAAGATGCAGAATTGGAGGCATTACTTGAGCAAAACTCGTGTCGAAATCAAAAAGAATTGGCACGATCATTGGGAGTGACTCAAGCCATTTCAAAACACCTCAAAGCCATGGGAATGATTCAGAAGCAAGGAAATTGGGTGCCGTACGAATTGAAGCCGAGAGATGTTGAACGGTGTTTGTTTGCTTGTGAACAGCTGCTTAAAAGACAAAGACGGAAGGGATTTCTGCATCGCATTGTGACTGGGGACGAAAAATGGGTTCATTACGAGCGCAGAAAATCATGGGGAGTTCCCGGCCATGCTACCACGTCGACAGCCAAACTGAATCTTCATGGCTCCAAGGGGCTCATGCTCTGTATTTGGTGGGACCAGCTCGGCGTAGTGTATTATGAACTGTTAAAACCGACTGAAACAATCACAGGCGATCTGTATCGAACGCAATTGATGCGTTTGAGCCGAGCATTGAAAGACAAACGGCCGCAATACAACGAGAGACTCGATAAAGTGATTTTGCAGCATGACAATGTTCGACCCCATGTTGCGAAAGTGGTCAAGACATACTTGGAAACGTTGAAATGGGAAGTCCTACCCTACCCGCCGTATTCTCCAGACGTTGCTCCCTCTGACTATCACTTGTTTCGATCAATGGCACACGGCCTAGCTGTATAGCACTTCCGGTCTTATGAAGAAGTAAAAAATTGGATCGATTCGTGGAAAGCTTCAAAAGATGACCAGTTTTTTCGACGCTACCCGAAAGATGGAAGAAAGTAGTGGCCAGCGATGGACAATATTTTGAATCATAAATGTATAACCAGTTTTTTACAATAAAGCCTCGAATTTCAGAAAAAAACGGCGGAAGCAAAGTTATACACCTAATATTTGAGAGCATTCGATGAGCCTCAGCCGCAGATTTCTTCATATTGAAGCAAAAAATTAAAACCTCCCGCAAATGACGAGAATTTGGCTCGTAAACTGACATTTTCAATCGAGAATAACTTTATGATGCAGACACAAATCGACTAATGTTTCTACGGGGTTATGTTGACAGATGCCCAAGTTTATTGTATGACGTCTATGATCTATTTATTTCGACCATCACTTACCGCTAAAGCCATCTATAGGAAAACGGCGGAAACAAAGTTATACACCTAATATGATCTTGAGATGACTTTAAAATCAGATAAGATCAATGAACGAATATTAATAGGTAGTAATATACCAAGTGTACAAGTATGAAATTCCCAAAAAAAAACACGTTAAATTCGGAAGAATGATAAAAAGAGATTTATTCAAAGTATGCTCCATTGCTAGTTACACATTTTTCCCATCTTTCGGGCAATTTGTGGATACCACACCAGTAAAAATCGTCCCCTTTTACCGCGAACCATTCGAGCCATTTTTTTCACATCTTCGTACAAACCAAAGCACTGCTCAGTAAGTGCGTGACTCATCGATGCAAACAAGTGGTAATCAGAAGGAGCCAAGTCTGGTGAGTAAGCCGCATGGGGTAGAACTTCCCAGCTGAGTACTTCCAATGTGTTCCGAACTGGTTTTGCCGTATGTGATGGAGCATTGTCATGGAGAAAAATGATCTTGTGTTGCCTCTTTTGGTATTCTGGTCATTTTTTAAGCAGCAAACGATTTAAATCGATCAATTGTTGTTGATAGCGTTTGGTATTAACCGTTTCGCCAGGCTTCAATAGCTCATAATAGATCACACCCTTCTGGTCCCACCAAAAGAGCATCAGCGCACAGAGCATCGTCTTCCTGCCAAAGCGATTCGGTCTTGCGATCGATGTGGATGGTGCGCCCATGATTTTTTGCACTTGGGATTCTCAAAAAAAAATCCACTTTTCATCCCCAGTAACGATACGATGCAAGAATGACTTTCTTCTGTATCATTCGAGCAAAATTTCACATGTATTTTTACGCCTCTCCATCTGTTTCTCGTTCAATTCATGTGACACCCATCTGCCGACTTTCTGAATCTTTCCCATCTTTCGTAGGCAATTGGAAACAGCTTGTTGACTAACGCTCAATTGCAACTCTGCGAGTTGTTTTTGTGTTTGTGAATCATCTTCATCCAGCAATGCTTGCAATTCCACGTCTTCGTCTTTTTGGGTGGTTTTCCATATTCCTTATTTGCAACATCGAAATCTTCAATTTTGAAACGCTGAAACCATCGTTCACACGTTTTTTGCGATGAAGCATATTCACTATAAGCTTCTTTAAGTAATCGGTATGATTCCACAGCAGTTTTCTTCAACTGAAAACAAAAAATTAATGCTGTTCGCGAATGCTCTTTATTTGGTACAATTTCGTCATAAACACAGCAACACAATACTATGCAAACACTTTTCAATCAAATCACTTTGCGCGTTTGACACTTGTTGATGGTACAATAAAATGGCGTGTTGTGGCGTAATGTTAAATTTTTGTACTTCACACTGCATTGGTGCGCCATCTGTTTCTCAAATCGTCATTTCATACTTGCACACCTGATATATATAT